AAAAATGCACATCCCAAATATACATGGGGCCGTGGGGTGAATGCACAGGCCAGTGGAGACTATTGACTAGAGAAGTACCTCATTTAGTCCTTACATTAGGTTTATGCCTGAACCTTCCACATCCCAGCCCATTCAGAACCAGTGGTTTTTTCCTGCCTTTCTAAAGCAGGAAAACAGCTCTTTCTGCCAAAATTTTGGTATATTTTTAGATTTAAAGAACAAGAAAAAATTAAATAAGAAAAAAAAAACCCTATATTATATATTGGTATGAATGCTTTAGGTGCAGTTTGACTTCCAACTGCCCAAATAATAACAAAAAAGCCAACAAGGTAGATTACCATCATTTAGGAACTGGATAAAACATACACTAGCCACTGTCCATGTTCCTTCAAAGAGATCAGGCCCTGTGTTATGGCAATGATCTAGAAATTAGGAAAACCTTTTGACATAGCTTTGCCATGGTCTTGCTGTGGGAATCTGGACTTGCAACTTATTCCCAGAAATAGAAAGACTTTCTCAGGAGACCAAAGACAGCAACAGAACCTCCGTTAGGACAGATTGCAGCTCAGAGAGACAGAAATTTGCTCAGTTTCTCAGTAGAGAAAAAACTCCTTTACCTTAATCTTGTTCTGCCCCACAGCCTGATTTATTGTCTGTTCAGAGTAGCTCTTTCCTGTCTCAAAGGAGCTCTGTGAAATTAGATTCATTAAGCCACGTTAAGTGCCATGAGATTCTCGCATGGTTAAATTTCAGAAGGGCAGAGAGCAGTGTCATCTAACAAGGGGCCTCCTCTGTCCAACAAATGTGCAATACACACTTTTGTGTTATGGCAAAGACACCCTACCTCTTCTAGTATTTTTGAGATTTATCTTTTTCTCTTTTCCCAAAATATTTCCTGGTCCCATACACATTCAAAAAAATCCATGTAATAATCTGTGGGCCATTAGAAAGGGAAATTTTAACAAAAATATCAGAATAAATCCTACTACTAGCAAAAAAAAATTTTAAAAAAAATTAAATCCTATGAAGGTTAAGAAAATGTTCAGTGAGATTCAATATATCATAAGACAGATCAAGGTTACTGAGACATAGAGGTGTTACCTCTCTGTCCCCATTTACCAGCAGGATTCCTGAATGGCCACAAATACACTCAGAAACCAGGTTCATGTGTTTGATAGCTGTATCTAATTCATGGCTCCTCACAGGTGGTTATTATGAAGCCATTTTCAGTGTTTTAAACAAGATTTGCGATATCCCACAAGCATTTATCCTGTCCCTGCAGCTCAGAGAAGCAGAAGTGACAGATGTGGAATGGGAGAGGGACACTGTTCTTCCCTGCCACTGCCACAGCCCCTTCATTTGCAGGATTTGCTGGTGCCAATGTGTCCCCAAGGAGGGACGTGGCTGGCACTGGACTTACTGCCATGTTCATGTTGGACAACAAACCACCCACCATCCCAGCAGCTGAGTGAGAGCCAGGCTTGCCTGGGGAGTGGACACTTGACCACAGGATAGTGGCTGCACTAACGAGCCCAGCAGCATGAGAGCAAATAAAGGTTTCCCATCTCTCTGAATGTGAGCTCCATCGACACGCTTTGCTCACATCAAGCTGTGCAAAGGGGCTGTTTTGGTCTGCAGATGCAGAACATCCAGGCTTATCTTCAAAGATATCTGCAAAACCCACCAGTTTTGATAGCAAAAAACCTGGCTACTATTGCTACTTAAGTGCCAACATATGGATTTCAGGCACTAATTGCATGCACCACGGCTTGATTAAATTGCTCCCTGGAGCTTTGCCAGAATAAATTATCTCACTTAGCAAAAGCTGTATCTGCACTGCAATTTTGAAGCTGTTCCACACATGTCAAGGCAGCATGGAGCTACTCTGGAGGTGTGCCTCAGGTAGTTCAATCTCAGTGCACATAACTCTGGTTTACATCCCACTGTCCTCTACTACACTGAGCAGATGTGGTATTGGATATTAGCTCCTCTCCAGAACCTGCTCCCTGTGCTCTTATCCTGTTAGTCTCTTAACCAGGATAACATTTTCATGATCAAATGCTCAGATCAGCATGAAAATGGTTGTTCTGAAATCATCTGCATCAACTAAATGCCTGAGACCTGAGCTTTTTTGAAAAATTAGTCCCTAATATCAAGACGTTACAATATTCCAGAAAATCCCCACTGGAGAATTTCAAGAAGAGTTTCCTGATCTGAATTAATAACAGAAACAACTTCACTGAACTCCATGAGCAGTAACAGTTCTCAGGGATGATTGGGTGGTCCTTTATGATTAATCAGCCTTCCTCATATATTTTTTAATTTTTAGTCCATGAAAAATCTACCATCTGGACAGCTTAGTAATGAAGAGCTTTACAGCAAACAGCTGTAAACACATGAAAATTTTCTTCTCCCCAGGGCACAGGCGTTGGAATTGCAGCTGTTTGCTGGGACCCTAGAAGTGTAGTGGCCTCCAAGGCTGAGAACCCCCATGTAAACTGGGAGAGTAGTTCTATGGATGCTTTTGCTGCTTAGACTAAAAGGAAAAGAATAAAAAAAATAAAAGGCACAGAGAGAAAAACAAAAAAATCAAACTAGCTATAAAGCTGCTATATTTGTTAGGAGCACCTTTCTGTGAGATGAAGGCTTGTCCACTCACTGACCAGCATTACCTGAGCTGCTGAAAATGGACTTCTTGTTTAGCCAATTTGAAGGGGGAAATGCAGAATGAAATGTGTGCATACCTTCATTATGGTTTAGCAGAAATAAAACTATTCCTGCTAGAATAAACTGAGACAAGAATAGCAATTTCAGCCTACACAGTTCTGCAGGAAATGTTCCAGAATAGCTACATGGAGTACATTCTTATTACCAAATCGGAGTGCTCTTGAGAGAGGCCATGTGAACCAAACCATGTGGATATGTGGGCATGTAATCAAAGTTACAAAGCCACAGGGACTGAACAATGCTCAAAGCATCCGTTGTACCTTGGTGACAGAGCAAGCCTCTCTTCCCATCCTGTTGCTTTAAAGCAGTTCATTTCCATCACCAGATGCAAATTAAATCCCACATTTCCAGTAAAAGGCAGTTTAATGACTGTTACCATCTAGCAGGGAGGTTAAGAACACAACAGCTGCTTTCTGAGGGACACTAACTTGTTCAGCTGCAGTGCTCCCAGCCTTGTGCTTGTACTCACTGCAAAACTGCAGTGTCAGCTAAAGCTCAGGATATTCCTTCCAAGCACTGTAGAAAAGGTTTTATTTTGGCTTAAACTAAAATAAACCACTACCAATGTTTTTTCTTTGGTGAAGGCAAACTTCAACTCAACATCTACAGCTGAGATGCCAGGACACCTGATCTTTCCTGGTATTCCAGGACAGGAGGGTCAGAACCTCCTGGAATCCTCAGTTCCATGTGGCCCAGAGGCTGTGAAAGTCCCTGTACATGTATATCTGGCCCAGAGGAGATTACACCAGTTTGTAAGGGCAGACTGAGCTACAGCAGGACACTGCTTCAATGTCTGCAATACAGAAAAGAGAGAATCTAAATCTATAAAATCCTAAGTCATACAGGTTGCTGAAAAGCAATAAAAATCTTCTGGGTTTTTTTTGGTTTTTTGTTGTTTTGTTTTTTTTTTTACCAGACTGTCTAACTTGCTACTGATGTCTGAGCCTTCAAAATTTGCCTCTTCTACAACATTTTTTCCAAAACAGTCCTTTGACTTTGAGTTCTTACAGACAACAGTCTGTGGTTAAAGAAACATCTGGGGAAGATTAAAAAAATTAAATGATTGGGCAATTTTTAATAACTTTCCCTTGGGAATCTCAAGTACACTACTGCAACAATCTCAAGCACACTATTGCTTTTCAAATGGTTTCATCAGGCTGTACTCCAAGATTCAGGCTGTACTCCAAGATTAGCTTCAAATTTAATTTACTGCACAGAACTTCTAGTTACCAATCTTCCCTTTGTCATTTAAGAAACTATCACAGGAAAAAAATGCCATAATCTTTCTTCATTTCTTCCCACATGTGATCAAGAGTTGCACTTCTGTGAGAGCAGCAAAGTAGATTTGGAAATATTTAAGTATTGGACATAATAACATATGGAAAAAAAAAAAAAAGAAAAAAGAAAAAGCAGGACTTTGGTCCACATAAATCAAACCAGAAGGGCAAATTGAGATTATTAAAAATTTTTGTTATTTATCAAAAACTGTAGGTCAACATGACATTAGCTCATCTGGGTAGAGCATAGTGCATAGAGTCACAAGATCATGGGTTTGGTCCCTATATGGGCTAAAAAGTTGGATTTGATAATCCTTGATGGGTATCTTCCAATTGAGACAATTCTATGATTCTGTCATTGTGTGAATCTGTGATTCTGTGGTTCTGTGACATTGTCAAACACTTGAAGACTACTAACATGCAAAAAATGTACCTCAGCTGGTCTGCAGCCAGAACATCTCAGAAAAACAGTTTAAATGAGTGAAAAATAGGAGAGGTGGGAACTTATCTCAAATAAATGAGATTAAAAAGTTCTGCAAAAGGCCTGTGTATTTGTGATATTTGTACAAAAAGGAAATTCATGTCTTATTGGTACATTTGGTCATCAAATACAATGAATCTTGGAGAAGATGAATCCCACTATGAACAGCAAAGGCACGCAAATCCCCAGGCCTTAGTAAGGAACACAGTCTGAAACTGAAATATATTGTCCATTTGTGTCTAATTATCTGTTGCTTAAACAGGCTCAGTTTCACTAAAATAAAGGTCCTTTGCAATCCCAGGGAATTAACTGGGCATCAGAACAGGTTTTGTGCATATGCTTAGTGCAATGCTTTCCATGGAGTTTGTTATCAGCATCCTCTATCAACACCCTCAATCTGTGATCATCAGAACATCTCTCATTAAAAAACACTGCAAGTGCCTTTCCCTAAATATTTCTGTTCCATTTTATAAATACCACTCTTTAGTAATCTGTGCACCCCCCTTTGTCTCTAGGTGGCAAATTTGCTCAGACTCTTCCAGATCCCCCAGATAAGCTACGCCTCCACCAGTGCCAAGCTGAGCGACAAATCCCGCTACGATTATTTCGCACGGACAGTGCCCCCGGACTTCTACCAAGCCAAAGCCATGGCTGAAATCCTGAGGTATTTCAACTGGACGTACGTGTCAACAGTGGCTTCTGAAGGAGACTACGGGGAGACAGGGATCGAGGCCTTTGAGCAGGAAGCTCGGCTGCGCAACATCTGCATCGCCACCTCCGAGAAAGTGGGACGCTCCAACATCAGGAAGTCGTACGACGGCGTGATCAGGGAGCTGCTCCAGAAACCCAACGCCAGGGTGGTGGTGCTCTTCATGCGAGGCGACGACTCCCGGGAGCTCATTGCGGCCGCCAACCGCTTCAATGTGTCCTTCACCTGGATCGCCAGCGACGGGTGGGGAGCTCAGGAGAGCATCGTCAAGGGCAATGAGCACATAGCCTCCGGGGCCATAACCTTGGAGCTCGCTTCCCATCCGGTTAAAGAGTTTGACAAGTACTTCCAAAGTCTCAGCCCTTACAACAACAGGCGCAACCCCTGGTTCAAGGACTTCTGGGAGCAAAAATTCCAGTGTAACCTGCAGAACCGGAAACCCCATAAAAAGGCTTGTGAAAAACATTTCACCATCAACAGTTCCAACTACGAGCAAGAATCCAAGATCATGTTTGTTGTGAATGCTGTGTATGCAATGGCTCATGCATTGCATAAAATGCAGAGGACTCTCTGCCCAAACACCACCAAACTCTGTGATGCCATGAAGCATCTGGATGGCAGGAAGCTGTACAAAGATTATCTCCTGAAAGTAAACTTTACAGGTAATAACTCCTCTTTTGGTACCTACAGAATGTAATTAAGCACTGTAATTAAGGAAATGTTCATCAGTCAAGGTAACACCTAGCCAAATTCCTGGTAGCAGCTATTTGCACAGTTCAGACCAGGGTGGTACACAGGCAAGGTCAATCCTGTCACAAAAAGGCAGAAAGGAGAAGGAAGAGGAGATTGGTAAGAACCCCAGAAAAAACAGGTTGATGCTCCTCCTGCTTCCAGCAGAAGGAAAGGGTGAAGGTGACAACAGCTGGTCTTGACAATGGCACTCCATCCTCTAAAATTCCACACACCAACACCCATTTAATTCACAGCCAATTTGGGCATGTCTGAAAGCCAATGGTCCTTTCACCACCTGCTACACCAGGCAGCTTCCCACCCTTCCCATGCCAAGACCTGGCCTTCTCTCCCTCACTTTGCTACAAATTTACATAATTGCTGGACCATAGCCAATGTCCTTGCAATAGTAAAGTAATAATTCCTGTCATAGAACCAAATGTAAATAAATTATTTAAATATATGGTGTAGTGCCATTACCTGTGTTACAGAACTACAGGCTTAATGGCAAAGTATAGAAAAAGCTACATTAAACATGTGCAGGAGATGTGGAGGAGTGTGGTCAGACTGGGAATGATATGAGCAAACTTCACGGGGACTGGCTGCGTAGCACTTGGCATCTCTGTGGTTTTGCCACCACATATGGCTGAGTTTAGCTTTTTTATTAATACTATGACATAACAATATTACACCCTACCAAAGGTAAATAGATCTATACAGAGGAAACAGGTAAAGTGTAGAATATCCTGGGTTTTTTTTGCTGCATATCTGAGTTTTTTCTGAAGCATCTAGGTTGTATTTCTATGTATTATGAAACTGATACTCTCAACTGACTGAGCTGATAGTAAGGAACCATCATGCTGTGCTTTGAATGGGAACTAGCTCCAAGAGGAATTGAAGGATAAACATGTGTAGGATGCAACATGCTCAATCCCAAGAGATTGTAATTGTATTTGTACAATGCTAATAACACTGAAAATTGTCAAATTGGAGCTTGAACTTTTCCCTTCTTTAGAGGTGTTCTCAGCATTTAATCACCTCTAAATACTACCAACCACATCCCTGGTACTTCTGTAGCTCCCAGTGGGGTGCAGCTGCTGTAGCCAAGCACTCAAGTCAGAATGAAACAAAGCTTTTGTGTTTAGACCTCTGGAAATTAAGAATAATCCTTTCTCCTTCCCATCCTCCTGTAGCACTTACAACATAGAAACTATTTTCTCGCTTGCCTGCACTTATCCTCAGAGATACTTGAATTTCCTCAAATTGTTGAAATCAATTGTTTTTAGGAGGACAGCACTTCATGGAAGCTGGTTCCTGGCATGCTGATCAGGAGGGAAGGCAGTGTTGTGCTTCTGTCCCTGCCAGGGAGATACTTCATGACTGTAATGACCTACCTAAATTAATAGGCACTTCAATATTTTAAAGTTCAATTATTTTGAAGATTTTTCTGACGCTACAGGTATTTTTATGGGCTTAAATAAAAACACTATTAATAGATTCCAGCCTTAAGGCTAAGCAACCTTTGTTCAAATATAGGATTCTTAATCATTTTTCTAACATGCAGATATTTTTAAGCACCTAAGCATTTTCCCATTCAACATCTATATATAAGGTCAAAATAACCCAAATTTTCTTTGACCAAAATCTCAGGAAAAATGTTAGTTATCTAGAGCCAGAAAAATTAGTTTTAATTTTGAATTAAATATATTTTATATTTTTATGAGTTGGGAGTTGAAGCTGTTCAAGATGGAAAAAGAAATTGAAGTCTGTAATTTTTTAGTTTTGAAAATAGAAAGCTCTTTTTTGAACCAAATTAATTTTATTTAAAATCAGCATGGAAATCTTTGAAACTCTGAAGGGCTTTATTTTCCATTAATTCTCATTTCCAATTTAAAACATTAAGAAACCTGTCAAGTTCTTTTCCAATGGCTTTGTTCCATATACATTTTTTTACCAGCTTACAACACGATTTGCTCCTCTCTTTACTATTAGTTCTTCCATTATAATGTGAATCCATGTTTTAATGTAAGTTATTTTTAAGCAGGTGAGTGATTTTATATGTGAGATTTTAATACATATAAGTCTTGTCATTGATTTCTATGGGACCAAAACCTATTCTTTGCTCTTTCCTGGCTGAAGGAAACCTTTGGGTGTGTGGTTAAAGCAATATGAAGACCTTGTTGCATGGTACATTTGATCAATGACACTCTCATATTTCCACCTCCAAACCTGAGAATGTTTTCCCAGCACAGAGAGAGGGTGGCATGGAAGTTGCCAGTCCAGCAGCTGCACTGCAGCCAAGTGAGGCTGTGGATTTTCTCTCTTCTTTAGCCTGGGAAGCAGTCCACACCCACCACAAGGAAGCAGAAAGGTGATAACCATATTTGCAGACACACAAGCAGCTATTCAAGCATTGCCTCCTCTGCTGAAAGGCAGTGATCCATATAGATAAGCACTGCAAGCATAGAAATCAAGCAAAGAAATGGTGGAAGAAATCAAGCAAATGGCCCTGAATGTCTCATTCCAGTTTCCTGGAACATGGTGTATTTCACACACACCAGTCTGAGTAAAACATCAAGTGCAGTTCTGTGACTGGTGTGGGATGGAGCAATTTTAGACATTTACCCTTCAAACTCAAATTAGTCTTGATTAGCCTTTGATTACTGTTAATGGAGGGGATCAGCACTTACAGAGTGTGCTCCAGCCCATGAGAGGCATGATTTGCCCCTACATCTCTTGCTACTGACTACAAATGGAGTACAGAGTGACTAAGATTTATTTTCACTTGCCATTTAGCTGGAGGCCTGAAGTGAAACTCTCAGGAACAGCAATAATGTGATTTGCAAGGAAATACTCAGGGACCAGCTAACAGGAGGGTGGTTGCAGGGTCTGGCCAGGATTTGTGCCAGTCCTGCCACTTGTGCTGCCACTGCTGCTGACATGCTGTTCATTATTTCACTAATATCTCTGGGTTCCTAGTTAGTTCTCCTTTTTCATTAAATTGAAATAACTCTACAGAACGGCAGTGTGGGATGCAGGCAGGGTGAAATTTCACTCCTTATTGTCTGTGAAATACACCAGGCACATCAGTTTCTTGCAAGTCAGTAAGACATATATGACAAATGTCATGATATCCTGAATCTTTTCAGCAGAGGAAAAAAAGGACACCTATGCCTAATTCCGGCTTCCTGCAGCAGGATGTGAGAATACAAAGTCCAGCCCCTAGATAAATGCACTCACTCAGTTTCAGTGTTTGTATATTTGTATGGCCTTTCAAAGAGATATAGGCTGGTTCATCTTCTTGATCTTCTCATCCTCTACATTCCCTCCTGAGGGCACAAGGGCAGCACTTGATGTTCTAAATCGTGATGGTTTTCTGCTGATAAAGAGATGCCTGTTCAAGAGGCTGTTAACTTGTATTACCAGAACAACAAGGAAGTGCTGAATAAAAGTATAGGGGTCCATGGCAGAGAGCACACAGTAAACTCAACTTCTCGTCATGCCCAGCCATTGCCTGGTGAGGGACAGCATACAGAGGGGCTTCTGGGAGGGCTGAGAATCCAAGGATGAGCCCACATATCCAGAAGCCTTGCTCCCTCACAAGGGTGGAGGGGACAGTGAAGAAAACAGGTTTGCTGACTATTTTAGGTTGTTTAAGCCACCGGCACAACACAGAAAAGTAGTGTTGTCATTGCCCACAGCACTGCTGCAAGCCTCATGTTTGACAAGTGCCAGGACTGTGTGAGAGGGGTGTCCATCATTTGGGACAAAAAAGTGGCAGGGTCCCACACAGCTATGCCCTACATGTAGCTGCCTGGTGTAGCTGCTCCTCCAGGACATTGGACTGGAGGTGAGGAAGGGCAGCAATGACAGTGAAAGACCAGCATTAGCTCCAGGGTTGCTTATCTGGGGCAGGATAACAGCCTTGTCACCCAGGAGTGTGGGGCTGGGCTCCAGCTTTTCCCACTCCAGTTAGCTGGGCTGATGGTAGAACAGGACTAGCCCTGTCCTCAGTCTAATGTGTGCAGAGGGGTTTGGATTTTGCAATGTATGCATGTCCGTATTTTTAACACAGTTTTCTGAATCTGCACAGCTAATGGTTGGAGGAATTTGGCTAAAGTAGAAGAATTGGAAAAAAGATAATTAAAAATTTTAGGCAATGGATATTTAAAGTACTCAGTATCTTTTCCTATCCCTTTCTCCTTCCTGAGTTACCAGAATCACTGTCACGGTGCTTTCTGTCTTGTGTTCAGAAATCCATCTCTTCTACGGCAAAGCCTGTATCATCAAAACTGCCTCATCCTGGGCAAGTCCTGGGTTAGTCCTTGGCTAACCAGAATGACTACTCCAAATGAGGAAAGGGTTGTAAGTCATGTCTGATTTGTCCCCTTTCCTCCACTGGACTTTATGACAAAACTTCTGTTCTTACCTGGTTTTACATCTCTATGTGGTTCATTTTTTCCCTTCTCTTCCTCCTCGCTCTGCCCCAGTCAACACTGAAATAATATGAAGCAGAAGCACAAATTTGCCTTCTCATTTATGCTTGAACACTGGTGACTTCTGTTGTGGGAACACAATTTCACAGACCATTTCCATCATATCTGTTCCATCCAAGTAAGAAAGAGTTTAAGCCGTGGTCTGCAACAAGCAGATGTCACCTTACCTCTGAGCAAAGCAGCACTGCTTGGTTTCTGCTCTGGGATTCAGCCGTAAGTATTTCCTGTCAAAAGTGCACTTCAAAACTCAATGCTCAGCCAGGCTGAATGGAGCACAGACCAAAAGAATGCTGCATGTGCTATCACAAGCAGATTACAGCTGCAGAAACCTCAAAGGCTGGCTACGAGTTTACCGCGGGGAGTACCTGTGCAGGCTAAAGCCAGAGCTCAGAGCCCAGCTCTGCAGCAGATGGCCCTGCTACTCCACCACCTCACCA